GATATTCACTCAGCTATGCAAATCATGAAGGGGTGCCAATAATGGTGAGCAGGACTGTAGTGTTTTTATGGTGGTAATTATATTAATCTCCTCACCTCGTGTACCTGATACACATCAGTTTACGCAGCTCGTTTACACACTTTTCCTGAAGATAGAAGAGTTTGTTGAATCTGACGTGACATGTTCGTACGAACCCTTTGTACGAACAAAAGTAAGAGAAATTTAGGATAAGAATACGAACATGTTCTTGTATGAGGCCCATTGTCTCTTTCAAGAAACTCCTAAATACTCACTTTTTCACTCAAGCGTTTAGCTAACCATTTCACGATTACTGCACGCCTACCTCCATTGTGAATGTTCGACAATCTGTGTTTTTCTATTATTGAACTTACGCCATATTTTTCTCTCCCACATTCATTATGTTTTTGTGTATTATTGTATTTTTTGCCCTGCATTTGATTTACAATTTTTGAAATTAATTCTTGATTTGATGTTTCAATTTTTCGTTGCTTATGTGTAATTATGTTTTTCCGTTTCATTTCATCTTCCCACCATTTTTATACTTTTAATGATTGTACAGCACCTTGTGAATATATTTCCGTGAAATGCGCTTTATAAATAAAACTTTACTTACTTACTTATACTTAACCTGAACCAAAGCCTAATTCACACCAAACCTAACTTGTAAAGCACAGTAGAGCTGCAAATAAAGTGAGGACATTGAAGAGGACACACACACACACACACACACCTCAAACCTTAACATCTCTAGGACAGTGTTGTTCAACCCTGGTCCTGAAGGCACACTGTCCTGCATGTTTTCGATGTTTCTCTGCTTCAACACAGCTGATTAAAATCGATAACTGATTACAGTTCAACAAAAGCCTGTTAATCATCTGAATCAGGTGTGTTAAAGCAGGGAAACCTCTAAAACATGCAGGGCAGTGTAAGAAAATACGTGTTCAACACGACTGAAGTCAAGATGAAAACACAATTGTTAAATAAAATGATTCGTAAAAGGAATAAGGTCATACAACACCAGATTTCTGGACCTGAGTGAGGTTTGTTTGCCACCGGGCTGACAAGGAAACCACACTGACTAAAAGTCAGGAAGTACGTTTTTATACACGATTCTTCGCTGCCTGAGTTCGCCCCCTACTGACCTACGGCTGAATCACAGGCATTCATACAAAAATCTCAACCTAATTTTATTATTACGGTTCACCTATGTGTTGTTTATGATTCGGACATGTATCTACTCTATTTCAATTAATACATAATAGATCAAACATTATAAAAGTGTTATAAAAAGGAAACCCTAATACTCTAGTGTTGTTTCTAACATCAGTACTAATCTATAATAACTATAATTTTCTTCAATCCCTCTTTTCACATGACCAAATCATGTGAAAGCAGTGTGCCTTAAGGACCAGGGTTGGGAAACACTGCTCTAGGAAACAGACAAAAACAAACATCCCATTATCCTGTTCCTGATATGACTTAATGAAGAGCTGCAGCAAGATGAAAAATAAAAACAATTAATGCTAACACCCAGCAGGGGCATTAGCTAGGCCTGTCACGATAACAAATTTTGCTGGGCGATTAATTGTCTCAAAATTTATTGCGATAAGCGATAATATTGCCTGGTGACC